CCATCGCAGAGGAAGCCTTTGCATTTCTATACATATATTTTTTCATACCTTGCACAAAACCCCATATCAGCAGCATCCATTGTCGGGAAAGCTTTGGAGGAAGCAGCGAGGAGCAGTGACCAGTCCCCTCACGATGTGGACCTTTCTGGGAATCGCCTCCTTCATCTACGTGTATAAAAAGTGCGGAGACCTCATGAGTTACGCTAATAAGGAGGTGCTGCTCTCCGTGTTAGTGTTCTTCTCCCTCGGCTTGCTGCTGTCGTACAGGTATCGCTTGGGAGGGCCCAAGCAGCAGCAGCAGCAGCAGCAGAGGAAGACCCACCTGGGGATGCTCTCTGATGTTCTCTCAGCTTTACCACTTGTTGGCTTCTTCTGGGCCAAACCCACCCAAGGATCTCAGCAAATCGAACAACCCAAATCCAGGAAGGTAGGTTCAATTCAGATGTGGCACACGTGGTGCAATCTCCTCCTGCTCTTCCCTCTGGCTGCTGACCCTCTGCCCTGGTGAGGGAAAGGAGCTAAGAAAGGGTTGGAGAGAATTTGTCTTTAGATGCTGGATGTGTCATGTTTTGCATTAGTTTTTAATGACAAAAGAAACATTGAAACTTTCTGAAGTGATAGTCCAGGAGTTTTTTAAAGTAAAGTCAAATGTAAGTGTTTGAAGAAAGAATTGTAGTAAAGGATTATCATAGTGGCAGAAAACCACCTTCAGTTTCCAGTCTGTTGTTGAGATGAAGGACTGGAGCATGTCTTCTATGAGGAAAGGCCGAGAGCTGTGACTGTTCAGCCTGGAGAAGGCTCAGGGGGGATCTCATTGATGTATATAAATACCTGAAGGGAGGGTGCAAAGAGAACGAAGCCCGGCTCTCTTCAGAGGTGCCCACTGAGAGGACCAGAGGCTATGGGCACAGAGTGAAATACAGGAGGTTCCCTCTAAACATCAGCAAACAGGTTTCTTACTGTGAGGCTGACTGAGCACTGGCACAGGTTGCCCAGAGAGGTGGTGGAGTCTCCATCCTTGGAGATACTCAAAACCCAACTGGACATGGTCCTGGGCAGCCTGCTCTAACTGACCCTGCCTGAGGGGGGACTTTGGACCAGGTGACCTCCTGAGGTCCCTTCTAACCTCAGCCATTCTGTGGTTCTGTGATCAGCTTCCTAATACTTCTGTATAAAATAGATTTGTTTAGACAACTGCGGATAAAGTTATTTGGGAATTATTGCTAAACTATTGCTTGTACCACAGGTACAGGATCTGAGCTCAGATCATCAGTCTGTTCCACTGAGCCCAGCGTGAGAATTGCTGTGAGACAGTGGAGAGAGCTGTAGTTAATGGCTGGAGCTTAGCTGGAGTCCTGCCATCTAAGACTACCAACTGGACATGCATATTCAGTACATCTGTGGGTTGGCACTGTTTGGCTACTTTCCTGTGTGCTTCTAGGCATTTTCAGCTGGACATTGACCCCTTGCACAAAAGAACTTGAAAACATTTTTGGCTGCAAGTCAAAGGTTCTGGATTTTTATTTTGTTTTTCTGGTAAAGCCTACCTTTACCCCCATTTCTTGTATTATCTGAATTCAGATAGTTAGTTTTGCACACCCTTGCTGCACTGTAGATATAACACAACACTATGCCACTAGAAATCCTGGTGTCATTGTTGTCTGGGCATTTTTTTCACTGATGCAAACGTATTTTTACCACCGTCAGCACTGTAGTGCTGAGGCATTTGTGAAAAAGTGAATTGGGCTGTATTCTTTATTCCACCAGCTGGAGAAATGACTTGCAGGTTTGTACTGGAATTCCTCTGACAACTTTTTTTTCACTTTGAAGTGTGTATGATGAGATGCAGTTGGGAAAGTACTATAACATACCTGGTCTTCAGGTACCAGTTTATATGTTAACATATGTAATCTGATGTATGTCAACTTTTAACAGTTACAGATGTAGGTGAACAGTAATTTTGCCTATACTTTTGACTGTCTGATTTTGTTTGGGGGGTGTTGTTTTTTCTTTTCTTTGCATGTTGTGTTTTTGTTGTATTTTAGAGTACAATTGATTTCATTTTGGACAAAAATAAACTGGAAGATGCTCTCCAGTGCTCTGGAAGATGCTCTACCGATGCACTCTCAGTCCCCTGAGTCAACATAGAACTAGTCCAAAGTCAACCCTGTGACAAGGTTATGGTACAGATACATCAGCACATGTAACTTTGTTCACTTTTTTTTCTATAGGGTAAAAAAGAAATAAGCTTCTCGGATGTGTATCTGACAGAGACCACTCCAAATGCAACGTTATTGCCCCAATATGATCCAGAAATTATCATTGTGGGATCAGGTGTCCTTGGTTCTTCCTTGGCCACAGTGCTCTCAAGGGATGGAAGAAAGGTGACTGTGATAGAGAGGGATCTGAAAGAACCTGACAGGATAGTTGGAGAATTGTTGCAACCTGGAGGTTTTAAGGCACTCAGAGACTTGGGTCTTGAAGGTGAGTGCATTTCAAAATGTAATTATATCTATAACACAACAGTTAGCTGCACTCGATTATGTTTTCAGAAAAAGCATGCCTACAGGGGAAAATTAAGAAATACATTATCTGTGCTTAACATTTGAATTAAAATTGCTTCTGTATTTCCAATCTACCATTTTGAAAATATTCATCCTTCAACATGTGTGCTTTGATTAAGATTATTTGACTCTAGAAATACTTTTCATACATAATTAAGCTTTCTTAAAACCTTTTTCAAACTCATCTATTGGCTTATATTTTGCAGATACGGTAGAAGGTATTGATTCACAAGTAGTAAATGGTTACATAATTCATGACAGAGAGAGCAACTCGGAGGTTGAAATTCCTTATCCAACGTCTGGGGACGGCTGTGTGGCGAGTGGAAGATCTTTTCATCATGGCCAGTTCATCATGGGTCTCCGAAGGGCAGCTATGGCAGAGCCCAAGTGAGTCACTTTGTGACAAGCACAGCTGGGATCCAGAGATTCGGAAGCACTGTTCCCAGCATCTGTGAGATTCCTGAACTGTTTCACTCTGTCCCAACACAGAAGGCTGCAATGAACAAGGCTGAGAGATGCAGCAGCTATAGTTACTGGCTGTGATTTCTGTAGACATGTTCATGAGTTGCATAGACATCATACATACATCATTAGCCTTTGGGACTAATATATGATGTATATTGTATGATGATTTAAAGTTAGTCTTTAAACTACAGGAATATAGGCTTTAAATATTAGGTGAGGTACTGGCCCATCTGTGTGAGGGAACAGTTCACTTGATTATCTTCTACTGATTCTTGGGTTTGACATTTTGCCAGAAGAGGTGACCTCTTCTCAGTGAGCAATGCATAGAACTGCTTTGGTCAAGAAATGAGGGACAAATCTGGTCTAATTTCTTAGAATCATAGAATGGTTTGGGTTGAAGGGGACCTTTAAAGGTCATCTAATCCCACCCTCCTGCAATGAGCAGGGATGTTTGTTTCTTCCACTGATGTTATCTGTGATGCCAGAAATCCAGCTTCTTTTATATTTGCATGTTGTTCTGCTTTTTCTGATAACAAGAAGTCAAGCAAAATAACTAGAAAGGAGTACTACATTGAAGTAGCTCCTTCTGGTTACTAACCTCTGTTTTTCAGAATCTTAAAGACACCTTCTCTTCCTCATGAAATTAAAATTAGCGTTTGGTGTTTCTTCTTTAACTGATTGCTTTCTTTTATACAAGAGATGAGAAGGAAACTTTTCTTGAAACAGAATAGATTGTAGGTGCTGTTTTCTGTGGGGTGTTCTTTTGGTTTGTCTTCCCCCCAAAAAAATAATGCTTACAGGGAATAATGCTTACATGGCTTTATCATCTTTTTACTTTTTGTGTCTTTATTCTGAGCTATAAAATTGCATTCTCCTGTCATACCTGTTATATCATATGAATTACTAAAAGTAGCACAAAAAGATAGCAGCTCTATAGTACAGTTAAAATTAATGAGAACAGTGTTTCCTAGATAGAAAAGCTAAAGCTTTGTTGTTGAGGCTTCAAGTTCAGTGAAGTTTGGGCACCTGTTTGTTCAACTTATGGGAAAACTCCAGTAGCTGTACACAGTCTTTGAAGCAGAAACTTACAAAAGCTAATGCTTGTGACTCGAATTAAATTCTTTTCCCTTTTTCCACATTCTCTTTAATGTTAGTTTTGTGTATGTTTGCTTTCCATTTTAATTGTAGTGTAGAAAGCTGCATGTTAAATTAAGGTGCGGGAGAGATCAAGAACTCTTAATAGTGCCATGAGGCTTTGCTTTTCATCTCATAACTTGTGAAAACATAGGGGATAATTATTACTGATTAATATATCCTCTTTATAACTACCAGGCAATATGAATTTCCTTCAGATGAGTGAAATTAATTTTGCAGAGGAAAGAGGTAGGGCATCATTAGTTAATTATTTTTATAGCAGGTGAGAACCAGAAAAAAAAGTGAGCACCTACTTAGATAACTGAAATGACAACTCTAAAAGAAATTTGAAGCTGATAGGATCTGCAGAACTCTGATTCACCTGCTATTAACCTGACATGTTGCTGCACTCCCTTGCTGTTGAAGTTTCTGTCAGTGTACTTGCACATAACCATTCATATTTTGATGCAGCCAGCCTGCCTGTTGCCTGGCAAACTGAGCCAGTCACGATCTACTCTGAAATTTCTGTGCTGGCTGACATGTAGAAAAGATGAATTCAATTGCTCATGTTGCCTCTGAGGGCCTAAAATATTGAGCTGTTGTGTCCTCACCTGGACCTTTAGCTCATTTCTGCAAGTTCTGGAATTCCATCTGGATATGAAAATATTTGTGAGGGAGAAACAGTGTCCATTTCAAGCTGCTAAGTCTGAACTGCTGGGATCAGATCTAACAGCTCAGACCCAGGAAGGGATTAAAGTTTACAGAGATTTAATTTGTGAAACCCAAATGGCCCTGGTTGGGAGGTGGAAGTTGCGATTGCTCAATTCAAATGTAAGCATTAGCAGAACTGCAAAAGCATAAATAGGCAATTAAAAAAAAAAAAAGTATCTGAATTCCTGAGGTGAAAAGCTACATGTCTCTGTCCTAAACAGGTTGGTTAGATTATTTTGGATTACTCTGAGAGTACCTCTTTGAGGTACCTCACTGTTATCTAGCATACATGTTAAGTGTTGAAGCGCTACTTCAGATCTTGCTCCTGAATTCTGCATAGAATTAGGTCTCACCCTCACTGTCAGCATTTCCCAACATTTAGCTGGGATGACTCAGTCACTGCCTGATTTCTGACGGCAACTAGGTGTCAAACTCCTCTCTCCATCTCTCACGTGGCCATGGAGCACCACTGATGATGCTGCTAAAGTGACAGGGTGTTTAAAATGAGCACTACAGTTTTAGAATATTCTCAAACCAAATGGTAGTGTTGAACTGAAATTAATGGTAAGCACTTCTTGATGCTCAATGTGGCTTCTGAAGCTGGTCAAGAACACATGTAAAATTTGAACAAAGTGTTTGCATTGGCAGAGACAAGATGAGTGAAAATCCAGTTTTCCTTCTGTGTTTACTGCCTTGAAATGTTGTCATCATTAATCCTCTTCCATTCTGTTCTAACCCCTCTATTTTATTTCAGCGCAAAATTCATTGAGGGAACTGTGTTAGAATTGCTTGAGGAAGATGACTGTGTCGTGGGTGTTCAGTACAAGGACAGAGAAACTGGAGACACTAAGGTAAGACAGTTTTCTGTTGTGATCTTTGTTAAACTGTTGGGAAAATCGAGGGTTGATTTATCTGTGTATATCTATATATAATTTTTTAAAAACCCCTCTATTTCAGAGCACTGGTACAGAAATAATACAAGTATCAAGAAACTGAAAGCTTTGATAAAGGGAGATCACTTTCTAGTGGATACAGTCCTGGCATATGGGAGTTCTTGTTATGACTTCTTATGCAGCTTCTGCTTTCAGTGTCTCTGGAGAATTCAGTTCATTATTTATTTCAATATTCATATGTCTGGAGTTTAAAATCTTTTAACAGTTACTGGTGGGAAAACCAATATATTAAGATTTATGCTTTGCCTGTGTGTAGCAGTCTACATTTCCACATACACTTCCACCAGAGTTTTAATTGCATCACTGATTTGATTAATGTTCTTTGCCTCAAATAATGCTAGACTGTTGCCTGAATGCTATGAAACTGCTTGAACTTACAGTAAAAAGTTTAGGAGAGACCAATGTAGGTAGAATCTATGTGCTGAGGTTCTGGATTTACTGCCTATTCCCTAGAAAGGGTAAACTTTAAATCTGCCCCTTTGTTGACTTTAAAATTGCTTTGCTACCTAAAGTTACGTAGCCAGTGTGTTTAGTTGTGCTCTGATGGGGAAGATGGGAATCTCCTGTCTAAGCTCTGCTGCCCTCCATACAAGATTGAGAAAGTTCCTGAGTAGTTGGAAGATCCTGTTCTAAGCATTACTCCTTGAAGAGCTGTAAGTTGGCTTTCCTGAAATTCAGGGTCCTGACAATGTTTCTCATATGACTTACACACCTTAGGACAGTGAACTGCACCAGTGCATGACCACTACAGCCCAGACTGCCTCCAATCTTGACATCCCTGATGAGCTCACTTGCATTGGTGACCGTCAGGTCCAATATTGCTTCCCCTCAAGTAGGGCTGTCTATTTCTTGTGTTAGGAAGTCGTCATCAAGGCCCTCCAGGAGTCTCTTGGATTGCCTACAGCTTGCTGTGCTACTTTTCCAACAGATGTCAGGGTGGTTGAAATCCCCCAGCAGGATGAGAGCCTGTGAGCTCAATGCCTTCTGGAGTAACAAGGGTTCATCAATAGGCTCCCCTTGATTGGGTGGCTTATAGTAGACACCAACCACAAGGTTCTCCTTGTTGTCTCGATCCTTAATTCCTACCCATAATCTTTCAACCTGCTCATGGCTATTGTTTAGGGACAACTCTTCACACTCTATACATTTCTTCACATAGAGGGCAACACCTCCACCCCTTCTTCTTCTTGTGTCCCTTCTGAACAGCTTGTAACCACGGTCCAGTCATGGGATTCATCCCACCAAGTTTCTGTAATGGCCACTATGTCGTAGCTTTCTAGTAGGATGGTAGCTTCCAACTCCTCCTGTTGTTGCCCATGCTACGTGCAGTGGTGTAGAGGCACTTCAGCTGGGCTGGTGGCCGTGTCACCTTCTTAGATGGACACCCCTCTATTCCCCCAAGGTGTATCATGGAAGCTACCCTGTTGGCTCCTATTACCTCAGGAGTTTCTAGCTTGTCTCTGTAAGACTTTGCCAGTGGATGATGTTGTTGTTGTTGTAATGTTAAGTGTGACTGACTTGACCAGCAGTAAGGTGAGCAGTGTTTTAGCCTCCATCTTTCCTGACAGCACAGATTTTGTTCTTGAGGCTTTGACTTTCATATCTGTGAAATGGGGATGAGCAAATTCATGTTTTGCTTTGAATGCTGAACTTCTGTGGCTGGAAAGAGCTGTATTATTTGATGGCCTGGATCTCCTTTGATTGTAGAAATCTAGTGTAAGAAATTTCTGCTGAACACTTCTTGTGTTTCCCTACCTGTATCTTTTTACAGCGGGGAAACTACTTAGGGGAAACAGAATCACAGAATGTTGGGGATTGGAA